GCTATAAACATAATAATTTTTCAAGCATTTGAGAGTTTAAACCCTTTGCAGAGTCATTAACATTGGGCTAACCAAAATCAAATAGTGTTAGTCTGAAACTAACCTTCTGCAGAATTTCAGCGTGGCTTTTTTCTAGGTACTGTTGTACCCTCTTACCCAGAGGTGACAGAGGTTTCCCTGTTTGGTACCCCACATGGCTCTCCTTGCCTAAGGAAATTAGGGAAATTCAGGATTGAATCAATGTAGAATTTACTTGTCTTGGTAGGTCTTACACTGGAATAAGTGGAAGTGAAAGTGTCTGTATTCACCTAATTCTTTGACCTTAACCATGGGCTCTGATGGGGAGACTATTTGCAAAGACAGACACTTGTAAATTCAGATACCCAGCGTGGGTTCAGGACCGTGACTTTAGGTTGCATGCCAGCTTCATGCACAGTTTAGATTTTTTTTCCTAGTTTATATGTGGTGTAGCTGTGAGATGTCTCTCAGCATTTATAAATTTATAATATTCTGTCAGAGGATGAAATAGTCTAGTGATGTGCAGTGCTGGAAATTAATATTTTTTTTTTTAAACTCCTGATTATATTATACTCGCTATTGGTTTCTCCACGTGTAAGTTGGAGGAATATTACATCCTTTATGGAGGAATGCATGGCAGTCTTTTTCCTTCCTGTGCAATGTATCTGCATAAATTTTACTCATAAAATAAAACTCTTTTTATGCCATATTGGTTTTACCAATATAGGGAAACACAGTTTCCATCTTCTGTAAAACTTTTCTGTGAAACTTCTGTAAAAGTTTTTAGAGAAAAATGCTCATGTTGTTGTATGTAAGCACACAGCATCATTTTACATTTTAATGTATATGTCTACAGAAATCTGTGATACTATCCCCTCCCCTCCCTGGAATGCTTTATTATATTCCATCCAGTTACACTTTAAAAAGAGAAGAGAGAGAGAAAAAGGCAGAACAAAACAACATTCGGTGAAATTCAGAGACGGGAATAAAAATATATCGTGAGACATTTAGTCTGCCTTGAAGAAAGCCATGCAGGTTTGGCATTAAAAGAAAGACGAAAGAGTGGATGTGCAGTAGGTTTTCATACTATAAGCAGAAAGGGGCAGATAAAATATGATTATTTAATAAAACCTGGTATTAATGGAAGCCATTGCCACAAGGTGTCACTCATGTCGGTAGCTTAGTGCTCCCTGGCTAAAAGAGGGCATTCATGGTTGTTACTGTATGGAGTACAAGCCTATTGCTGGAGGGCATAAGCCAACTAGCCTCTCTCTGGGGGATAATAGGTGAGGGGAACTTCATGAATTTTTTTTTTTATATTTTTTTTTTGCTGGAAGCCACTTTGCATGTTCTGCTGAAGCTTCTCGTGCTGCCAGAATCCGCTGATCTGTCCAGCATCACAGGTGCTAAATTTGTGTTTGTTCATTCCTAAGTTTTACTTAATCATCAAAGGATCTGGCTGGCCCACAAATGTTACCCTGATCTAAGCATGCCACAAATTCAGATACAAAATTTGTGGCAGAGGTGCGTATCTTCTGAATTTTCCATCAAGTACAGCGCTTGAGACAATCCTTAAAATTCTGGTTGTGGCTTCTTACAGAGCTCAACTCACATTGATCGACGCTCTATGCCTGCTATGGGTTACATGACACATACTGTGAGCGCACCCAGTTTGCATGGCAAGTCGGTAAGTTGAGAGAGCAGTTACTTTTCCTTTTGTGCCATCATAGTATTGTAGTTACGTTTTAAAATCCTGCTCATTCCATAGTGGTGGTATTTTTATTAGTTAAAACATAAACAACTTGAATGAGAACTTGAACTTAATCAGCTCCCAGTAAAAAGCCTGTAGGAATTTTGCTGTTATCTGCAACGTGAAGAAAGGTGAGCTGTCTGTTATTACAGGATTCAACTTTTATTATGTTTATTTGACCAAATGCAGAGTTAATGAAATAATTGCTTAATCATGTCAAGTTAACTGCTTTCTGGGCACTGAGGTGAAAAATGTAATTACAGTTACTCTCCCTGAAGACTGCTAATTTCCTCTTTACAATGTGTCTAAATACCTGCAGCCTGAAGAGCTAACATTGCTTCTCATTCGATTAAGGAGACATCAGGCTAAGTTGGCTAGTATACGAAATTACACAATCGCACAATTACTGCAGCACTTGCCAACTAATTCCACCTATCAGGTCAGCTGCTGCTTGGCTCATCTGTGCCGTATGACATTTTGTGACTCTGCAAATGCTTCATTAGTGGCCATGCTTGAGTCTGTGCTTTCTTGCCCGGTCTTTGGTATTCTACAACTCCCAGGTCATTTGCGGTTTTTCTTTGCTACTGTATTTGCTATAAAAGATGAGCGTTTTAAGTCATAGGGCACCAGTGCATATGTTTCAAAGTGTGCTGTATACTTCCTTTTTATACTATTTCTGAAAATGCTGCATCTTCAGAAATATGGTTTAAAATATTAGATAAGTTCATTTTAAAGCAAAACCATTTCTTTGTGCTGCTTTCATGATGGGATTGGCTCCATGTGCCATGTGCTGTCATCTGCAAATTGAAATGCATCAGCCAGTTTGTATATTCGTATGAGCTTGTAACTGTGCCAGTTCTGCAGGTGACTGTTGGTTCCTAAAAGCTCATGGGCATCTTGGTTCATCAACAGTGCTCTTGATTGCACTGGTGTATGAAACTTGTAAATGTGAGATCAAACAGAAATGTACTTATCGAACTCTTTGGTGGATATTAGAGCCTCAAAAATGGAGCCATCTGGGAATAAAATGTGGCGACTCTTCTTGGAATTGATGAAGGCTTTATATTGGCCCAAAGCTGAAGGAATTTTTTTGAATTTGGAGAAGTTGTATTTCCCGAATTACCTCACCTACAGAATGATTGCACTAAGATGGGCAATAGGAACAGAGATTTCTCCAAAAATGGGCAGACTTTCTAGGCAAGTCCTCAGCCAGACTTACATGCTGATGGGTCAAGAATTGTAAGTGAACACCTCTAAGAAATGCCAGTGTAATTTATTGATTTTATGGCATAAAGGGTTTTTCATTTCTCTTTTAACTACACATTCTCATTGGCTCAAAATTTGAGAAATGGTGCAGTTGTGTTTTTCTTTTAGTCTGAAGTTTAGTGTACCCAGGATACAAAATTGTGTCAAAATAAATTTTTGTCACAATAAAATTGTAGGAGTTTGGGGGCACTTCGGCTGATTACAAAGCAGTTTTGCAACAGTTAAGCTTTATTTTGCTGCGTGTTGCAAATACCTCTTTTGAAAAAAATAACTTTGTTATGACTTCTGTGCATGCTTTTCTTGAAGTGACTGCAATGAAGATGATGATAGATGAATGTAACAATAAAATTAAGCTGATAGCAATTACAGGTGAGCAGATGAAAAATAAGGATCAAGTTGGATGCTATTACTTAAAAGACCAAATGGATTCTCTAGTCATATAAGTGAGATCTTTTTCAGTATTTTATTCACAAAACGTATTTCCTACTTCCCCTGAATAAAGGAATTTATGTCTTAAATCATGTATGAAATGTGATCAGAAGTATTCTAGTGATTTGTTATGTAATGGCTTTTAGTTACATTTCACATTCAGTTAGGTACAAGTCTTCTCTTCTTCTCCCAAAGAGACATATTGCGCTGGAGGACACCACCGTAACTTTTTCCGTGAAGGGATAGTCAGTAGAAATCGATCTTGAAATAGTGACTTTTTGAAAATCTGTTGTTTCAGGTAGTTATATGTCTTATTAGAGGTGGAAAACTCAAATCTGTATGTTTGGAGGGTGGGCATGAGGTAGTAATATTCTTGGGGAAATATTTTGCCCATTTTTCAGCTGTAAATAGCAATATGCTGGTGGAGCAAATGTGCTTTTTCATGTACTTCCTACTCTGTTATTTTGTTTCCTCTTTCATCCATTTTCTCATGTATAACCAACCTGAGTATTTTGAAATTGTTTCAAACATTCAAATACATTGCATTTTTTTCCCCCATGTATTTACCTGAAGGCGGATGACACTTATATCCAGTTGAAAAAGGATTTGGAGTATTTGGATCTAAAGGTAAGATTTTACATTCAGGGGTTTTCTTTTTTTTTTTTTTTTTTTTTAAACCCAGCAGTCTTTTGTGTATCATCGTTGTACCTGCAGGTTTTCAAATCACCTTCTCTTCAGAGATGGAAACTGTGTCTTTTGCCATCACTGTTGTGCTTAGAATATTGAATGTCTTTGTAGTAGTGACTATACAACTAAAGTGCAAACTCAGAAAATGTAATTGCTTCAGTTTGTAGGAAAAACTTGTTACTGGTAGTGCAGATGAGTGATATTACGTGAGTTTAGAGAAACTGGATAAAAAAAAAATATTCAAAATGTTTGTCTGCCATAGCATTAGAACCAGTATGAAGTCAACTCCTGTTAAAATAGGGACTTCTTTTAATCCAGCTTTTTCCCTTTAAATCTTCTTGAGCTGCCTTTTGCCTTGTTTTTATGATATGCTGTATTTATAATGTCTGTCTGTCTTGTGAAAATGTGGTGATTAATTAGCACCTGTCATTGTTTTCCTATTATTATAGCTAAGAGATTTCAAATGCAGCCATTCATCCATCCATCCGTAGATATAAGCTGCCCAAATAACGTTACATGGCATTTCCTCTTAAAAAAAAAAAATAATTAAAAATATGATATTGAACATCAAAGCCTCTGTCTAAACGAAATGGCTTCTGTATCTGGTACACCTCATAGTTGGCAATTTGAAAGCAAATCTAGACTTACTAATACTAGGTTTTGAAGAAAAAAAAAAAACCCCAAAATGTAAAATCATTTTGCTTAGCAAAGCATTCTAACACTTTCTATGGTGTGTAGGATGTCTCACCATATATAAATCATATCATAGTGTTTCTGAAAATCATGGTGGAGTGAAACTGGACACCTTGTGGTCCTTACTGTTTGCATGTAGGTAGTTCTCAGTGATGCCATGAGGCATTGCATACGTGCAGCTAATGAGCTGACTGGACCTGTTAGTGTGTGTACTTCAATTTTATCTGATGTTTTAAGTGCTGAATATATAACCAAATACATCAGTGGAAAATATTAATAATACATATTACACATACGTACAGTGACACATATATAAAGGTAGAATACGTATCACATAATATATGCGGTATATATAGTCTAAATGATCAACTATGTTAACTTGTAATCATTAATATATGAATTTAAAATTGGTTGGACACATTTCACTTTAGGCCTTGTTCTTGGTTCATTCATGGCTTTGCCAAATGTTACCACATTGCAAGCCATAAGCTGAATTTTATGACAAATTTCAATTTAAAAGGTCCTACAATTTGAGAAGTTTTTAATAAACACAGTGTTTTGTCCATTATAAAGAATAATTTTCACAGTTAAAAGTGGCCACAGTTTAAGCCTCTGAAAATGTTATGTGCTTAGCCAAATTATTAGGATAGGTTGTTAACTTTTTAGTGGTTTCCATCTGGATTGATTTGTTTCGGTCTGGGACATGAAGAGCTATTTGGTCTCCCAGGACCTCCCCTTGTGCCTTCTTGCAGCCTACATAGCACCTGACCTTTAGAGGTCAACTAGTCCAATGCCCCTGCCATGAACATAGACATCTTCAACTAGAGCAGGGTGCTCAGAGCCTCGTCCAGCCTGACCTTGACTGTTTTCAGTGATGGGGCCTCTACAGCCTCTCTGGGCAACCTGTTCCAGTGTTTCACTACCCTCACGGTAAAAATATTTTTCCTTTCATCTAATCTAAATCTACCCTCTTTTAGTCTAAAACAGTTACCCCCTTGTTCTGTTGCAACAGGCCTGACTAAAAAGTCTGTCCCCATCTTTCTTGGAAGCCCCCTTGAAGTACTGAAAGGCCACAAGATGGTCTCCCTGGAGCCTTCTCTTCTCCAGGCTGAACAAGCCCAACTCTCTCCACCTGTCCTCATAAGAGAGGTGTTCCAGCTCTCTGATTAGTTTTGTGGCCCTCCTGTGGACCTGCTCCAACAGGTCCCCACGTCTGAGGGCTCCAGAGCTGGACGCAGTGCTCCAGGTGGGGTCTCACCAGAGCGGAGTAGAGGGGCAGAATCGCCTCCCTCGACCTGCTGGCCATGCCTCTTTTGATGCAGACCAGCCTGCATTTGGCTTTCTGAGTTGTGAGCGCACATTGCCAGTGAATGTCCAGCTTTTCATCCACCAGTACCCCCAAGTCCTTCCCCACAGGGCTGCTCTCAATCCCTTTATTCTCCGGCATTAGCGTTAGTTCCCTTTTGAAAATCTTGGCAGTCAAAATGTCAAGTGTGTTTCTGTAAGAATGATCTAATTTTTCAAAATGGGTATTTCTTAATAACCTTCTTTCAGTAGTGGTCCAGAAATGTAAGAATTCAGGTCAGGTTGCTGAGAGATTAAAGAGACCATGAGAGATTAAAGACACCTAAGAAGGTGTCTTTGTATTTGTTAAATTTGTGTTTTGTCACTAAATATAAATTACTGAAGAGATGCTTTGTTTTGCAGTATGAGGATAAAAGAACACTGTTGGATGAAACTAAGCAAATTACATATTGATTTGGTAATGGTGGAATATGGCAAAGTCAAAGTTAGTATTCGTGGTACCTGTCATTGAAGACATCGAAGGCTTAGATAGAAAGCCTTTTAATTCAAGTCTCTCTTTTGATTTTATTGGGCTTTGAGTTAGACCTACTCTGATTAAAGAGTTTCAAATAGGACTGAGGATTTTAGAGCTGGAGTTAAACTTTCTGTCTTTTCACTGAATCCATTCTTTCTGAAGATCTTTCTTCCTAGAGATTTTGAAATACAAATTTTCAGCATGGAATAGTAATTTAGCTATTAACTGCATAATGCATGCCGTAGTACTAAAACTGATAGCAGTAATTAGTTACACAGCATTTAGTAATTTTTCATTACTCACTGTTTTGTTCCCCCCTTGCTCTTACCCGTTTATACGAGCCTATTTTTTATTACTTAATAGTTTAAAAATATTATCTAAGAAATATTTTTATGTTAATACCAAGATGATATTGTTCAACATTATAGTGTATTGTCATAAGTATAAATTAAATAAAAATGTTTTAGAGATATTCATCCATTTCAATAGTTTTCTCTTGCATGCAAGCTAGTTCTGACAAAAAAAAAAGCCTAAAGGCTGTTTAATCACACTATGAGGAATAATTATTGATAGTTTTGAACTTGTCAAATACCATGCATTGTGGAGGTTTACTTTAACAATATTGCCCATTAGATGATGAACTGTTTTTCCCCCCACAATTGTTGCAGGGACTCTGTACTCTTTTTTTTGTTCGTGAAACAGAGGTGTGTGGAGCACGAAGGAAATGGTGTAACTGTATGCTATAGCATAACCATGCCTCTTCTGCAAACAGATTTCCACAGTTGTTCTTCCACAGTTTTGTTTTTTAATCTCTAAAGTGGATAGAGCCTGTATTAGAAAAGCAGAGAGGAAGAGCAAAAGAAAGAAAACCTCAACTTTCTCCACAAGTTTCTAAAGATGACTTTGCAAATAAGGTGAAACACAAATGATGAAGGAAGCTTCCCTTTTTGTGACTATCAAATCAAGTTCAAGCAGGCTACAGGAGGGCTGGATGGGCAGCCTCACTTCTGATTAGTTTAAAACATTCCCAAGAAGATTATACAAAATATGGATGAGGAAGTATAGGAAAGCTGTGTCACTAAATATAAATTGTGCAACCAGTTGAAGCAAATCTGGGGCCTCTCGGGGGTTCAGCAGTGGTTTTGCTTCATTCTTCTGTAGTCATACTGTAATATCTGAAGCTCTTTAGTTTCTGCTGCAGTTGAAAGAGGTTGCTGGTGCAAGCTTGTGTCGCATAGATAATGAAGGAAAAAGTGCATGGCAGGTATTTGTTATGGGAGGAAGGGTAGGTCTGATTGCAATAACTTTTTTCACTGAGGTTTTAACGAGGTTGCTCAAATTATCAATACAGAGCTCTTGGTGCAAGCGTTACTACATACAGAAAATATCTTCCTGTAATTCCCAACACTCTTGAAACTGCAGTTGGGCAAATCTGAGCAAATCCTATTTTGTGTTGTCTGTGTGTTTGTGTGTTTTGCAAAAGTAAAGAAGTCTTATACTTGAATGAATAATCTACCCACAATATAACAAGATAGGTAGATAGCCAGTTGTAGCTTCCGTAATGGCAGATTGTATAGACTATAAACCTCAAGGACTGGTGTGACATAAGAGCGTGTGATTACTGCTGGGGGGTTAATTTTTACATCGATAACAAGCTATTACTAAACTTTTGTTTGAAACAGATAGAAAATAATGGACCTCTGATCAACATGATATACAAAGTGCTAAAGAACTCAGCACAAGGGTTACTATCCAGTATACATGTAAGACTGCTTGCATCTGAAATGTGCTCATCCCATTGCTTTTTAAAATAGCAGTCAATGTTTACATAGTCTGGCTTCTGCAGGTGTCTTATGGTAAACAATAAAGCTTTCTGTAACATTTTATTTTTTTCTTTCCTTCCCCCTCCCCCCCCCCCCCCCCCTTTTGTAGTCTGTATGCAAAATTATGGCTGACCTCAATGTTTGGTTTCATTTTTTCATGTTTTGAAAATGATTGTGTCAAGTAGTGAATCCTATGCGTAACTTTGAAAATGTCGAAGCATGCTAAATCTTCATTATGTTCTCATGTTCACTGCTTGATAATTAACAACTTCTTTACAGTTCTGATTATGTAATTTAAAATATCCCCCAAATCCATAGACTCTGATTTTTATGTTAATTCCATTGCTTTGAAAAAGGCTTTTGCATTCTCTTAGCTTGCAGGTAATTAAATATGCAAAATTATTACTTTGACGTGCTAGCATTTATGCCTATATTTAATTGTTACTATTCTACATAGGATTTAGCATTTGAATAATTCCATTAATATTTTTGAAAGAAAGGGTTTTTCTAATATAATGCATTATTGTTGAAAATGAAAATATCAAAAAATAGGAAGTTTTGAGAGGCAATAAATGCTTTTGATTTTGGTGGTAGGGAAGTAACATTTCACCACATGAAAATATATAGTAAGTCTTTGAATGGAGTCTGCAACTGGAGGAGAGAAGACAGTAAAATAATTTATGACCATGCTCCTCTCTTAAACCTACATTGTTATTTGAAAATACTACGTGTAGATGGCTAACCGCACATAACATGTTAAATGAGAAACTGAGATTGTATGAAAGATTCATCTATGCTTACAGTAAAATTTAATTACTTTTAAGAAAGCTAGCATGATCCTTTAGGTGCCTGTTAGGTTAATAAGTAAACTATGTAGCTTCAAGTCTGGAGATTGCCCATCAGTCAGTAAAAAAACAAGCTACCCCTTCTACTCCAGCAAGAAAGCCAACAACTTCTGCTTTTATATGAAAACTTCTGCTCTTATATTATTAAAGACAATATTTAGGTGAACTTTTCTTCATAAACTCTTGCCTGTATATGAATGGAAATATACTGCATATGAGTACTATACTTCTAAACATCAGGTGTTTCTTTGGAAGGATAGTATTTCCTTTAATGAATCTTTAAAAGTGTTCTAATCTGGTAATATTAAGTCATTAGATTTGAAGGCTTTTAAAAACTGTATGATTAATGAGCTGTATTGTATTGCCAATCTCTTAACCTCATTTATTCACAAAAAGGGTCCCTTGTGCACAGTGGAAGCAATGAACTTTTCTACAGAGATAGACATACCTTCATTTTAAGATTGCTGTGAGGATTGGAAGTATAATATAGTATAGTTTCTGTACCGATTTAAAAACTATGTTATGTGAGAAGATAATCTTCTCACCAGAAATCGAATACAAAACGAGTGATTTATGGAATAGGAGATTTGTTATATTATAAACATGTTGAAATAGATTAATTACATTTCATTCCACTATAGCACTTTTATAGCAGTCTGCTTTTAATAAAATTCACCCTGTACTATGGAAGAGATTATACTTTGTAGAATGAAAGAGTTGCCAAAAAGTTGTATTTTTAGTCATTAATTAATGCTGTTATTCTTGCAACCGCGCATTTAAAGGAACTATTCAAGTCCTTTGATTTCAAGAAAGCTATTAAAGCCAAACTGCTAAAACTATTAGGTTTTTACAGGAACAAGACCTTTGTAACGGTAGACAAGTGGGATTATGCTGTTTTGTACAGACTTTTAAGCTCCTGTAAGAGTTATTAAGTAGCCTAATATAACTAGTAATCCTTTCTGACAACTTTTTTTTTTTAAAAAAACTAAAGCCATATTTGGAAAGATTTGTATCCAAAATTTTAATAACCGTGAATATTTAACAAAACTCTTCTTTTCATTGTTGAGGCATAATGAGGTTTTAGTTTGCAACAAATTTCTCAGATCTATAAAACTTGTTCCTCTTAGGTGACAGGGCGTGACACGTTAAAAGAACGAAGTACAAAACCCGTCAAGATTGCAGAAAGTGATATTGATGTGAGTATCAAATACCACTTCAGAATCTCTTGCACTGTTTTGGCTATTTATGTTGTACCGTTATGTGTTCACATTATTATGCTCTTTGGGGTAAAATATTACTAGTGGAGATTTTTCTGCTTGATTTTTAAAATCTAACGTTATATATTTATATAATTGCATTTTCAGGTCAAGCTAAGCATTTTTTGTGAGCAGGACAGAATACTGCAGGACTTGGAGGACAAAATAAGAGCCCTTAAGGAAAATAAAGTAAGTGGATGAAAAAAGGTTTTATAAAATAAAATATCAACTTTCATCTAATCATAAAACATGGAATTACAAACAAAAAAATAAAATTACTGGATGCTGCTTGCATTGTAGTAGTTTTCTTTGGGCATGTGTATAAACTTAGATAAGGAAAAGAATTGGTTTTTACATTAGGATGAGTACACACTTTTAGAAAACATGTTTTTGAAAATGAGTATTTTAAAACCACATATATGTAATTTTCTGGCATTTGTTATGAATTCGAGTACATACACTTCCCTGTGTAGTTTTGCTTTATGTCTTAGTGTGTATGTGGTGTGAGGCAGGGTCATGTTTCATTTGCAGTTCTTCCAACCTGCACAAACATTGTTTGCGTAAATAGCAATTTGCTACCATGTTGAGCTCTCACTGTAGCTTGTGTTGGGCCTTGGGGGGGAGGAATTGTTTTTTTGTTGTTTGTTTGTTTGTTTTTAAAAGGAGAGGCATTCAAATATGTAGCAATTTCAGAAACCCGTGGCAGTTTATATATAGTACTATGAACTTAGTTCTGAGGGTTATGACTGAAACGCTGGAATATCTCCTGTGACAAGTTTGTAGTTGGAACCCATCTCCTTTCCTCTGTGCCCATTCAAGTCAGAGTTCAAGTAGTAAACAATAACAAAATGGTTTGCCTTTCCTTGTCTTTCCTTGCCTGTACGTGTCTTTATCTGCTTCACTGCCTGTGAGCTATAGCTGCCTGCAAATGGAGGTGCTTCAGAAAAAAATCCATTCTAAACCGAAGGTACTGTCCAGATGGATCTTTTGGGAGAGCTACTGTGCAAAAATGGTTCAGTGTTATTTACTCCCAACTGAATGAATTGAGCCTACTTAATGTTTTAGACAATAATTTAGTCCCTCACATGGCTAATTTAACTACATCAGTGAATGAGAACCTATCCTTAAATAAACATCTAATGCTGTGCTGTGGTAGGGCTGTTACAGTTCTATACTGCTTAGTGGGAATTTTTCTGAAAATGTACATTACAGTTTTGTACAGATTGTAAATAGAAAAATTCCCCTGACTGCTTTGTGTTTTCCACAGTTTTGGCTAATGGAAAGATGAAATGGAAAATATCAGATAATTTTGGTTAAAATAGTTAATTAAGGCTCTTGCACTTTTTCGTTTACATCTTGGAGGCCACAACAGGAGGCCAATCCTAACCTCTAGTGGCTTATAGGAAAGAAGGTGGAAAACAACTCGTATTTTCCCACAGGTCGATCCATAAAATTCCATATAAATATTGTAAGTTTACCACCATCTTCTCCTTTGTTAGGATCAGTTGGAGTCTGTTTTGGAGGTTTTACACAGGCAGATGGAACAGTACAAAGACCAACCACGACATGCAGAAAAAATTTCTTACCAGCAGAGACTTTTGCAAGAGGATCTCATACAGATTCGGGCTGAAATATCCAAAGTTTCAACGGTATGTGTTTTAAATTGTTTCAAGAAAACCATAATTATAATACCAGTTAGAGTAAAACTGTATAATTCATTGGATAGCGGAGTTAAGTCCTGTTCTGAGCTGATTTGGTTAAGGTACAGGATACTAAACCAGAACAAAAAAATTTAAGCACTCTCTCCAGCTTTCCTTTTTAATGCCCCCTTCCCACCCCCCTTATTTCCACCCCGCCTCCCTAGCCCCAAGCTCAAAAAACTTTTTTATACCTTTCACATTTATGTATGGGGCTTGTATTGCAAATCTTTCAGCTAGTCCTTTGACAATATAAATGTGATTGCATGGTGGTTTTCCAGGGGAAAAGGAATTGGGAAAGTCTCTTGATATTTCAGTCAAAATTTACTGTTGATATTATGACTTAATAAAATTGAAATGTAATTTAATGTTGTATTTTTATTAAGAAAAATGTTTCTAAAAATTGGCCATGAAAGAGAGTATATTAAACCTCGGCGTTGTGTACTCAGTGTATTATTCCTGCCTCTTAATGAATACGGGACCGGCTCTTCATAAGATAATTTCTAGGATTGCATGAACACCTTTCCTATAGTGAGACCTGATCATTAAAATCCCAGTATTATTTAAATACACACACACACACACACACACACAGTGTTTTGTGCCTGTAGAAAATGTATGACTTTCACAGACAGCATTTAAAATTTCATCAGGGGCATAAATAGTGAGTCATTGTAAGAATGGCTGTACCGGTCCAGTCCAAGGCTCCTTCTAGCCAGGGTTCTGGCTTCAGCAGTGGGCATAAGCAGATGCTTAGAGAAGAGTAAGGATAGGAGAGGTGGGTAGTATTTCCTGTCACAATCAATCCAGCTTTTAACTATTTTCTTCTCAGGGAATTCCTGAGGCTGGTATTTTATTTTTTTTTGTCTATTTAGTAATCCTCAGTAGATCTCTTTTCCAAGAACCTGTACAGTCTCCTATTAAATTTTTTGAACCTTTTGCATCCAAAACATCTTTTGGCAAGATATTGCCCGGATCTTTCCCCCACTGCATGGACAGCCACTTTCTTCTATTTGTTTTGAGCCCAATTTGTACATGTTTCATTTGGTATACCCTTGTTCTTGTATAAGAAAGGATGGGGAACAGTCAGTCGTTACCACTCTCTCCATGCCACTTATGGTTTCATAGACCTCCATTATTTCTTGCCCTGAACTCCCGAGTGATCTCTTTTCTAGACTGGAGAGGAAAAGCCTGCTTCATCATTCCTTACATAAAAATGCTCCAAACACTTGATTTTTCTCTGTTCTGGGTCAGAAGGCAGACTGTGGTGCTATGGATGCTGGAAATAATCTAAGTAAAGTGAGGGTGATGGAATAGCCTTATTTCCCAGGTGTCTGCTTGTTTATTCACTTATAATGCCATTACAACACAGTTGTAGAACTTTTAAAGAATAACCTGCTTTGTGTTTCAAAACATAAGTTCTGGTTTAGGTGACTGTTTGGATTTTAATTATAAACTTGTTTTAAATAGAGGAGTAAAGTAAAAGGAAATGGAACTGCAATAGACTTGATTCCTTCATAGCATATTAGTCATAGTTCAAACTCTGTTAAAAGCCAGTTTTAAGCTTAAGAAATGGGTTTGTGTGAGTAAGCTGGCCAGAAGGTTTTAACTAGGGATTCTTGACTTGATCTTGCAAGCTATAAAGCATTTTGAAGTTTATCATCGACTTCAAGCAAAAATGTAGACTACAAAATGGATTTTTTGCTTCTTTTTATAATAGAACAACACCATCTTAAAAACACTTCGGTGTTCAATTAGAGAATGGATAGAGTGATTTTGAAGTTTATTGTAACATTGTATTACAGTATTCCCTTTGTTAATAGGAAATGGAAAATGCCTGGAATGAATATCTGAAATTAGAAAAGGATGTGAGCCAGCTGAAAAAAGCCTTACAGGAACAGATGAATAGTTCATTGGTATCTCAGGTGAGTCCATTTCCAGACACTGCTTTACTTACGAGATGATTTTGTCTGAACTTGAAAGCTATCATCTCATAAGAGAAATCCTTTGCAATTTTTGCACTGTAATCAGCTGTCATGTAGCTTAGTTTGCAAAGTTCAGACGGTGTAACAGCGTAGCTGTGCAGTAACTAGCTATCTTGCAGCATGTGTAATAGTTTCTCATAAGTTGTCTATGCAAATTTGTCATTATTTTATTATGGTTTTATTACATGCTGACATCTTGACATTGATAACGTATTTAATTTATAAGACTATGCAGGACTTCTTAGTCTTCCATTCATTTGATCTGACATTGTTGGCTTCTTTATCCGTTTTTAAGAACATCAGTCAGTAGCTTTTTATTGTCATTACTTGTTCTTTGTCGTGTTCTTCTATTTATGGAAGATTTGCCTCTGCAGATTGTTTTGTGAAGTGGAATAAGTGTTTAACAGCCATCGGTAATTGAAAGGCATCTCGGTTTTAAATCAATTATTCAGTTTTTAATCTTACAAAGAAGCTTTGTTTGAAGCTAAGCTATTCCGTTTGCTGAACTGGATGTGGCGTACCAGATTATTTCTATGTACCTGCTTACAATCGGTGATTCTATTCTTCGAGCAAGAAATACAGTCCGGATTATGTTTCCTGTGTTTAAGCAGAACATTTTTATTTAAAAGACAAAACACAAGGAATAAAGCTAATGTATACATTTTGGTCAAATTTTAGCCTACTTTTCCAAATATCCTGGACTAAAAGAACTCACTAGTTAAATTTTTAAATTTATTTATTGCAACAAATATCAGAATTTAAGTCTATTTTTTTCACTATTAATGGTTAAATGTTTTGTATCAAAGCAAGAGTTGTAAAACTTTTTTAGATTGCATCAATCATCTAAGTCCACTTTTATTTAATTTTGGGGGGTGGGGGAATGATTCAGTTTCTAGAGCCAGAATATTATGTAATTGAGCTCAGCTATAGAACATATCCCTCCAAAACATCCCAGGGGTATTTTAGAATAAAATCGTCCCTGTGTGACATTATTTTGTTAAACAAAGGGAAATTACGTGTTTAAACAAAATACACTTTGTTAAAGTACTTTTACAAACAATTTTGAGTTGCGCACTGAGCATGCTTAAAATACTGGATGCGTGGCAATGTGATTTAGCAATACATATAGAAGGGAATGCAATTAGCGCAGAAAAAATATTAACTCAGTTTTATTATCATCTCATATCACATACATGCATAATTATAAAAAAATACACATGCACTCACACACACAAACATACACGTTATGTGTTTTCTGTGTGTATATTTACATATATATGCATATGTATGTATGCATAGATATGTTTGTCTTTGGCTAAGATTTAAAAAAATATTTTAAAAAAATACACATGCACTCACACACACAAACAACTGAATACCTGAATACCTATTTCGGAGATACTAAGGGGAGCTGATTTTTTCAGAAAGTACTGAACGTTCTTAAAACTATATGGCTTCAAAGAAGTCTCACTTGAAGTACCTGTAGTAGAGGGTTTTTTGATCTCTGCCCAAGGGTATGTAGACTCAAGATTGTTTATCTAGTACTTTCCAGTAGCACTAAATTTTAAAAAAAATGCAATCTTCATGGAATATTATTAAAAATCCAATGAATTTGCAGGCTCAAGTTGCTGTATGAAACAGCTAATGTTGTTTCTATATAGCATTAATTAAGAGGTTAAAAACTAAATGTTTCAAGCAGCTCGGTCAGAGTAAATCTTGCTTTTAAGAGTGTAGCTTCGTTGTCTTTTGCTTAAGGGTTGGGGGGATCTGGGCGTGCTGAAATTAACTGAGATTGGTATTTTGTCAGTGATAACTTTTTAGTTGGTAAATGTTTCTCCTCTGGTTTTATAAATCATTCTAAATTATGTTTCTGTGTGAAGGAAGTTAGAGAAATTGATTTATCTCTCCAAGTTACCCTTTCATGCTTGCCCATAAAGTATATTTATATCCTGTCGTGAACAGCAATCTTGGCTTTCGTAATTTAAAAATAAATTCATCTGTTTATCCTTTAGATCTAGTCCATTTTTGATCTAAAATATTCTCTTCACATCGATGTTTAAGTAATGGGAAGGCATAATATTAAAAGATCTCCTGGCTTTTGTACATTAGTGATCGAACATTTTCTGAGCGGTTTCAGAAGCAGATTTTTTTGTATATGTGGGGTTTTTTTAACCACTTCTGAGGCTTGATTATTGTAAATCCATCATTTGGTTCCTTGTAGTATGATTAATCTCAGAAAAATGAAATGAAACGTGCAGATTTATAGTTTGTATCCTGAAAATCTTTGAAGATACGTCCCATCTATCGAGTGAGTTTACTACAGGCAAATAACGTTCTCCATCATTTAAATGTTTGTGCTCTTGGCACCCTGTTTGCTGATCTATAACCTGGCTGAACATATTTTCTGATCTAAGACAGAAAGTGGAAAGCAATTTATATGCCTGCCTTAGCTCTATGAAGTGTAAGAGCTTGTACTAAAGTTTCTCTCTTTCAGGCTTATAGGATTAATTAGCGGATATTTTGCAGCTCATGGCAAGTGATGGATTTCTAGAGTTCTTGAGCAGTTTCTGAGCAATTCTTAACTACAGTGTTTCACTGCCTTCTGCTTTCTTTAGTAAAACCAAGAGGAAAACAGTATTATCAAGTTTATTCCTAATGTCAGTTTTTGAAGGCAGAATTACCAGGCTTTGATTAAGTAGATGAGAATAGCTCTGTATGATGATTGCAATGAATATTTGACTGAAGTGGTGGCTTCAGTAGCCAAGGCCTCTGGCTGCAAGATGCAATCAAAGGCAGAGTCCAGACTGTAGACAAAAGCATCCTTTTCTTTCCTTCTGGAAAGCCTCTGGAAAGCAAATGGGATGCAAGATGAGACCAAATCCTGGAACAGCGGCAATGTATTGTTTCAACCTATAACACCTGCTGGTTCTAACAACTCAAATATAAGCAGAAATTAAATTTGTCAGCCCTCCTGAGTTAGTTTTGGGTTTATATTTCATCCATTAAAAGCCATTAGGAAATTGACAGCAGTATTCAGGGAGACTATACTATTTTTTTTTGCTTTTTTTAATATTGGACATTTCCCCTGAATGTATTAAGATGAGTTTCATAAGGCTGCCTTAGCAGTCTTAAGTGTGTTAGTATAGGATTTAAGAACAAAGTTCAAATTAAAAGGTTCTGTAAACTTATTTTATGTAGAACATCAAACTAGTTTTTTGTAGCCTGAATAATACTGTAGAGAAAAATGTAAAGGTGTCTCTTTCCCCCCAGTCTTCTATAGGAAGTCTTCCAAGACTCAGAAAACGCTCTAATAAATTTGATGGGCAAGATATGTTGGTTTGGGGGGGGGGAGGGATATTTAGGTTTTAAAATAATTATTTAACTCGTTTCTAGACTCCTAATTTTTCCTGTAAGTTCTGAAACACTAGTTTGGTTTTGGTATCAAAAGAAGGATAGGCCCATAATAAGTTAAAAATGAGATATAATTGATTTTTCTTTTTTATGACAAATATCAGGAGAAAACACAAATACAAAAAGACTTGTGGAGAATTGAAGATGTTACAGCTGGCTTGAGCGCGAATAAAACAAACTACAAAACCATAGTAGACTCTATCAAGAATCCAGGTGAGGAGAACACAATTAAAACATAAAATGTATACAAATGCAGCTGAATCTTTGGGTCTGTGCAAATAGTCTAAAAAGTTGTTCTATTGCAGAAAATCCAGTTAATTCTGCTATTGGTTACATCAGAAAACTGTTGGTTGAGCACATTAAGGGTTTTTTCGTTGTTTGTTTTCACATACTGAAGGCACTAAAATGTAACAAGCCATAAAAAAGGGAACAGCAGTAATAATAATAATGGGCTAAGTTCTTCAAGTTGCAAGAAGAGTTTCTGTCACATGCCAGGCTCATACCAGCATAGTATCTATTCTGTGTTCTATCCAGGACCTCCTCTCTGTGTTCTCCTCTGCTTGGTTTTTTGGTTTTTTTTCCCCACCCCCTTGGATGCTGCCCGACTGCCCTTGCTGCAGTTGCCTTACCCTCCCTCTTCAGGCAGGTGTGCGGTGGGCAGAGCAACAACGTCAGCTATGGAAAAGAGGAAGGGAAAGCATGTCTGGTCTGCATTTCAGTTGCTTTATTATGTTTTAAAGAAAAGACCTAATGTATTGGGATAGCAAGAGACTGTTAGCTCCTACTGTAAATTCCCTTCATATTTAAAGTATCTTTGCTTACCTTTTACATACAGAGTTAAAATAGTTCTAAGATGCTGAGATCTTATTTTATTTAAGGTATGGCTATGAGTGCTTAGCCTTGTCTAGATCTATAGGCTTCTTAAGGAATTTGTGGTACAGGGCCAGATACCACCTATGAATTGATTTTGTATGCCTCTCGGGCTTTTCCTTCCTTCCCTCCCGCTGCCCTCTCCAAGGAATTTTACTGGATGATGTTAAAAGTGTGTGTTTTTATTTTTGTCCTGAAAGGCTTGCTTCAGCCTTATGAAAATGTTTTCCACCCCTGCTATAATGTAACAGTCAAACATATTTATGTCCAAAAAACCCCCCATTTGTGTTCTAAGCAATGTGAAGAGTATTAGGGCTGTTTTATGAAGTCAAAGGATGTTAATTGCTATTCTTATGAACATTATTGGTAAGAAACAACACCTAACACATTCGCATATTTCTCCCCTAGAGAGAAAAATAGTGCCTTCATTTTCTCAGTCTTCAGTGCCTTCCTTACCAGCTTCCCTTGCAACTGTGGAGAACAAACTTTCAGTCCCGCAAAGCCCTCCACCCAGTCCGGTTAAATCCTCTCTGGAGGTTAGGCTGTATCCACAGCCTTATTTCCAGGCCAGAATGCAGCACCAAGCACAGCAGCTGAAAAAAATTGAGCCGCCTCTTCAGTCACCAGTTAAGCTAAAGCCAAAGGTTGTAAGTACTGCTCTTGTGAGATTCGTTCACCAATGTTCCCATTTACTTCTGGCAGAAACAGTGGAAGTTTCATGGTTACAAAGTGCACACAGGGTGGAGGCACAACAGGGAGACGCTTAAGAAGTTTGTATTGAAACTGAGCAATAGCGCTTACAGGAGAACATATGTGCGTAACCTGGAGCATTATGTACAGTAGCCATGTACTCTTTTAGAACATAGCAATGCAGAGCCTTGCTTGGTAATGCTTTGTGGTTGATTAGTTGTTTGCTTTCTTGGGTCTTTGGTTTTTAAAGCTCTTGGTATGGACAGAGGAGAGCATGCTAAAGCAATCACAAATAACTCATAGAATGCAATGAACTTTCAGTCAGTTTATGTCCGACTGTTTTCAGACTGTTTGCCAAATACCTGTGCTTTCCTGTTACCAGGAAGATGAAGCACCGCCCAGACCTCCTCTCCCTCAGTTGTACAGTCCTGATGATCAGCCACCAGCTGTTCCGCCTCTCCCGAGAGAAGCCACTGTCATCAGACACACGTCAGTGCGGGGCCTGAAACGTCAGTCAGATGAAAGAAAGAGAGACAGAGAACTCGGGCAGTATGTTAATGGAGATTATAGGGTGAGCACTCATACACCTATACACCTGCACTTTAAAGATATATGAACCTATAATAAAAGATATTGTCTGTAGGTCTTGTAATAAGGAGGGAGATAATGGCAGAGAGGTAGTAATGGCAGGGAGAGATCTATGCCATATAGTAATGGCAGAGAGAGATTTAGTAATCCAGAAACAAAGTTTCAGGATTTGTTTTGAGATTATTACAACTTGCTGTCTGTGATTTCATTTAAGCTGATGAGTATTTTTCCATATAGGTGGAATTGCGCTCATACATGAGTGAACCAGAACTAGCAACAATAGGTGGTGACCTCAGCCAACCTCCCAGTGGTTTAATAAGCTCTGACAGCGGATACCAGACGTTACCTACTCGTGGTAAGCCAGGAATTTATGTAGTTGATTTTTAACAGTGCTGTCTGTGTAGGAGCTTTTCTGTCCTAGGATTTTCTGGAGGTGGTCTTTATCATCAGGTCATTATTTTTAGATTAACTATACAATGCTGTGAAAGTCTAGAGATTTTATGCATTTTAATGGTGTTGTTACAGGCAACCAGCCTTTTGCAAAGCAACTTAATATATAATGTTTAAAATAAAGCATAGCAAAACATGAAATTAGCTGTTAGAATGTCTCCTACATTCAGAGTTATTTTTCCTCATAATTCCTGTGTGATCTTTTACAAACTCAAGTATTTTTTTTAAACATTTTTATTGCCATTGAAATGAAAGCAATAAAGAACAGGAATATAATGCCCCTAGACGCTACGTGTGACTTGACTGTGCTATAGTCCTGTCACTGTTTCACAAATGAGGATAGAGGGATATTTGGGGAAGAGCAATTAATTTCTAAGCTCTTCTTAGTTTTTTCCTTTCTAACTGTGAATGTTAAGGTTCAATTTTCTTCATAGATGTGATTATTTGTACAGCTTATCTACTGTTGTACAGCTGAGTTCACCCCATACTTCATTTCATATAAGCTTCTAAATTATCATAAATATTTCTGAATTTTGATCAATAGTGACCCAAAACACATTACTTTTGGCTGAAATAAAATTTCATGCCTCTTATGATCTTCTGAACTGCAAAATGTGAAATGTGAGCTAAAATAGTACCCAGAATGTCATAGAAAAAGCATGATAATTTAAAAAAAAAAAATCTGACACTTGTCTTCCTTTTGTCTGTCATTTGGTTTTAAAGCATTCTCTTTTTCTTTATCAAGGTTTATCTGGATCAACTTCCAGATTGCACCAATCATCTACCATTTCTTCATATGCAACACTTCGAAGGGATAGGTCCAAGGTAAGTTTTAAATCAACATCTGAAGGCAAATGTCTGAACTGTTCAAAATAGTTAAGCCCAGAATATATATCGCATAGCGGGAAGTGGGATTGTAGTAGCATGGGAGAGGACCCAACACGTGTGATCTAATAAAATCTTCAACTTTTGCATTTTCTTAAATGAATCAGGAAGCAGGCAGACAAGTTTGCACTTTAAACAGATTTCTAAAACAAGGTTTAAACCCATAAATCAGCAGTACTAATAGAAAATATAGAGTTGAAATATGCAAATTAATACAAAAATAATAGACTAAAACCATGTTAATTTAGTAATAAGGTAGGAGAAAGAGTTAATTTTTTGTATGCTTCTTATAAAGTATTAATTACAACATGTGTTTTGTGTGCCTTGTGACTTCTACAGGAGAGACCAAAGAGTGCCTTGGAACGTTTATACTCTGGAGACCACCAAAGAGGCAAGATGAGTGCAGAGGAACAACTAGAAAGAATGAAGCGACATCAGAAGGCATTAGTTCGTGAACGCAAGAGAACTCTTAGCCAAGGAGAAAGGCAGTCTGTTTCATCTCGGTCTTTCATCAGGCCCGTTTCTGCAGACATAGGCTCAGTATGTTAGATATGCCTTAAAAGGACTAAACTAAAAATACCTTTGGATTTTTTTTTTCCTAGCAAGCACTTTCACTTGAGTGTGTGTGATGCTTCTAGTCTAATTAAATTAGCATTATACGGTATAAAATGAGTTCAGAGAGTGTGAGTAACAGATGATCTTTTTTTTTTTTTATTATTAGTTCCAGTAAGTGTGCTGAGTGGAGGTGTGAGTATATTGGAGTGATTTCAGAGATGTGATTGTTTTTTATTGGAATTGTACTTAGAAAGTGTAAGAAGCTTGTACAGTTTTAAAACTGCTTCATAATGGAATGGGCCTTTTAGAATGTTCTTATTCACCATGGGTATTTTTCTTTTTAATTCATAAATTAGACTGCAAGATAGTCATGGTAATATCAGACCAAGGTGGTGTTTGTTTGCTTTTCTTAAAGAGATTATAAATGTATAATCAGTTTTAAAATCTAATCGTGCTGATTAGAAACTTATGTAAGAGCCAGTGTATTTTAATTGATAGAAATTCTTCTTTAAAGCTTAAAATGTAGAATATTCTAATAAGGCTCAGATTTAAGCTGCTGCAGAAAAGGATTTTTGTTGTGTTCCAAGATTAAATGATGTACAGATGATAAGTTTGTAAGGATACATTTTGGATACTAACCAAAGCAATTCTAATTGGTAAAGTTACCCAGTCGCTCACTTGGTGCTAAACCAAGATTGTACTGTAATTGCACTTATGCTGTGGTCTTTTAATTTATTTATTATTTGGTCCACTAGAGCTTTAGAATGATCACCTTGTTTTACCTAATTCATTGCACAAGATCTCTTGCTTTTAGATTCGTCACTCATCTTACCTAATGCCTCTTTTTTTTGTTTGCTTGTTTTTAATTTGCAGAATTTTGTAGTTATTTTAAAATTTTCTAACTAGACTACTCAATTTTTACCAGGCTTAATTGCATTTAGTACATGTGTGTCAATTGCTAGCATTTAAAAAAAACTATAATATGCAGCCTTTCATTCCCACTGTTCAGTAGCACTAATTTACAGCCAGTTATTTGTATTTACTTTCCCAGTAAATACGAGTGCACTATTTGGAGACATTCATCTATTTTGTCCTCTGTTTTGCAATCACAAATTTGTTAAAGATAGTGCATAATATTTGGGAACTGTAGAACTGTAGTATCACTGTTATTTTCATATTTTAATTAGAATAACTAAATCTGAGCTTTTTACGTTTCCTGACTCGCATAACACACACAATGCGAATTTAAACATTTTCATAACACTCCTTATTAACATTTGTGGCAAACACTTTATCTATAAATTTGGGTGCCATCTTGGTCTTTTTCTTGCTGTAAAGAATGAAAATAGAATCTTTCAGCCCTAGCAATGTTTTGTAGAGGTCATCTCTTGTACCTACAGGGCTTCGATACGCAAAAAGCATGTTTGATAGCACAATTACTTACAGCATTACACTTATTTAGCAGCCAAAATGGCAAACAGTTAAATGTATAATTGAAGTGCTGCTCAGTATGTAACATCTGCTTTAAACATACGTTGTGTAACTCTAATTTTTAATCGGTCAGCTCTCAAGTGTAGTATGGCATTTTAAGTATTGATCACAGTACATGAATTCATTTGTTATATACAATGCCTTTTTAATGTAAAAGTCACAACATCAAAGCCAATAAAAATACTGCTTCGTAATAATGGTTTGATGTTTTTCTTACCTATATATAGTATAGTAACTTGAAAATGATACTGTGTATTTAAGATATACTATGTCAATCAGGCCTGGTTCGAATATGAGTAGAAGAATTAGTTTGGAGTACTTGTATGAGAAAACGAGTACTCTTTCTTTCTCTTTTGAATTCTGTAAAGAAACATGATTAATTTTTGAGATATAATTGCCTTTTAGCTATTTAACTTTTCTAATATACATGGAAGATATGTATCTTCTGAGTGAATATTGAGAGCTTGTGCATGAATAGGTTTCAATTAGATTTCTTAATGCAAGTAGCATAATGAAGTCTAAGGACTTCATATGAAGTTCAAACTTCAACCAAAACAAGCCAAAGATTGCTAACAGAAATACTAGAGATGCTTTTAAGAAACATGTAATTGTTCTCCTGTTGATACCCTCAAATGCTTGAGGAGAGAACTTTTTTGTTGTTCTTTTTGTCCCTTCTCTTTCCCACTGCTTTCTAATGTTGTGTTTCAATTCTGTATGGTAAAATTGCCAAGATCTGCTGGATGGAATGATGCTGCAACTGAACTTAATTTTTTGAACAAACAAGTGTTGCTAGTGTTCTTAAGCATGAGTTTACGTGCAGCTGTATTGTGTGGAGCTGTGAAGAAGCTACTGTGCAATGATTTGAGAACCCTAAAATTATGCTGCTTAATTTAAATGTGTTCTGAATTTATTATTGCTAAATATTTACCTTGTGAAAGATTTTTTTGTGTTTGCAGGTAGCTAGATACTTTAGTAAAAACATAAGAGCTTAGAAGTTACTAAATTATTATTCTTGATTTCAAGACAAGTTAATGCTAGTATGTAAAATATTATCAGCTTTAATCACTAGATTTTATTCTAGAAAATACATAAAATTTTGAAGTTGCAATTCTTAACCTGCAATATAAATACCTTTTCTGTGTAGCGATTCAAAACCATGCAGTGCTGCCTGGTTAGAATGCCTGGGACTCATCTGTCAGTCCATAGGCTCACCTGTATTGACACCTGTGCTTCCAAAGATGTTTGTGTGTAGCTAGTTCCATGTTAATCAGCTTATGTGAAATTGTGATTAATACATTTGTTAGAATTTAATACTCCTGAACATTACCTGTAAAATTAAACAACTCTCCAAACCTCATGCAGCACAGCTAGAGATCAAATCTCTCAACCATATGTCCCAAGAAATACAGTTGCATTTTCTTTTTCTTGCCAGTTAAGGGGTTTGCTCTGTAGATTCCTCCAGCAATAGAGCATTTGCAGCAATAGTAATGTACATTGCTAAATGATGAACTTGGCAGTATGGTTGAATGCTGTTAATTGTTTTGTATCTATTACCAGTGGAAACGAGAGCAAGAATTTGATTTGCAGTTACTTGAGAGGGCAATTCGTGGAGAAGAGAAGGATGAAAATGAATGGTTAAAAGTGCAGCCAGTAGCAGTGACAGAGACAGACCTGGAGCCTCAAGACTATGATTTAGATATCAGCAGAGAGGTAACACTCAATTTTTTGCCTCCTATTCTGTGCCCCAAAATATTAACCTTTCAGAGTTTTAGGTAGTGAATTCTCATCTTTTCTTTTGAAAGTTAGCTGGAAGTTTGAACTAAGAGGAGTCTTTTGGGTATTGAAAATCTATTGGCCTGGCACTTGAGAATCTGTGTAAGGTTCCTGTTCATACTGTGTTTTAGCGGAGAGAAGAAATGGAAAGGCTGGCTTCACTCTTTGAAATATACATCTCAGGCTTTACAGAGGAAAAAAGTGATTAAGTTAGGCAATGTTATATAAATTGGGAAAAAAGATGAGAAGACAACATCAAAAGTGTTTGAAAATAAGAAACAGCAATGAAGTAAAAGTTACTTCCTTAGAGCTACCTTACTCTTTGTTTTGACTGGCAAAACATGGTAGAGAAGAGGGAGCACTCCTTTATTCTGGTCAGAACAGAAAACACCTTTCTGTCGGCTTTTCAAATTACTTCGTTGGTGTTCTGGGCACTAGATCTTTTTTTTCAGCTCTAGTACCCGAGTGAAGTTGTTTGTTTGAAATGCGATTGAGCCACCTGGTGGAAGAGAGAGAATATAGCAAGTGGAAAGATTTCAGTAGGTACTGTGCATTGTGTGAAATGCCATGGCAGATGGGAAATCAGTAACATTATTAATGATAATTAGATTAGTAAGCACCTCTACTGTTCTGAAAGCTGTTGGCAAAGTATTATTTTATATAGAGAGATATTAGAGGTTGAATCTGTGAACTGTTATCTGTTGATCTCTATGAAGGAATGTATCTTTCAATTAGAAAACGCAGTGTTCCTGTAAACTTCAGAAAAAGAAAAAAAAACTTCCATTGTATTGCCTTTCCTTGTTGCACTCTGCTTTTAATTTTTTTTTCCAGAAGTCCTTCAGGGCTACAAGAATCACTTTGTACATCCAAATTAACGCCTTAAGCCTAGGATAGGAAATGCTTCTGCTTATAGGCATTTCTGCCCTACTTCAGAGTAACTGAAGCAGGTCTGAAGCTCTGAATGTAAAGCTTCTTTCTTGGGTTTCCCAGGTTGTCCTTTTCCATTTCATGTGCCCCTCCTCTTCACTTGCCAGGCACTTCTGTACCTGAGGTGCTTCTGTGCCTCATAAGGAAATGTACTCAGTTGTGTCTTTTAAGGCCAATAAATCTGCTGTTCATGTGATAACTGTTTGTTATTCTGGAAGTGGCAGGATGAGCTGATCTAGGCTGGACTATGGAGATAGATAGTTAAATTTAAAAAAAACCAGAGCTCCAGAGAGGAGTTGGATTTGAAGGTAAGGAAGTGTCATGGAAAATGAGGGTTTTTCAGGAAGCATTGGCCTTGGGTTTACTGAGAAGGAAGTATGAAAATTTGAGGTTGTGATTTTAATGTGGTTATGAGTGCTAATGACCATGTTGTATGCTTTGGGCCTATGACTGCCTGTGAATTACTGAACCTAATCACTAGGGCTTAGGTCAGGCCACTTGACCTATGCCATTGAGTTAGTGTGGACTAAGTTCAGTGGTGAAAAATTTAGGACTATTTTTATTTAAACTTTGAATTTTGAAAACTTGTTGCCTCATGAGTGTTTTAACAAAAATCCAAAGAGAAGAAAAAAAAGTTCCCCTTTACTTATTTTTATTTATTCACCCATCCTCTATTTGTGCTTCCCAAAAGCAGTCTGTTCTGTATAATAAGCATTGGTTTTCAAAGCCCAGTTGTAAACTGAATTTTCATCGGGTGGTTTAGATCTTCTGTGTGGAGCAATGAAACTGATCCTAACAAAAAGTTGTTGCTAGCTTTTGTGCAATCTTATTAAAATTTTCAATCTACAGAATTACATGTACGCAACGTGTTCTTACAATTGCACGATGTTAGTGTATTTCTGGGTCAGTTCCCTAGACAACTTTTGAATACCTAGGTTTTCAGATTTTTAAGTCCAAGAATTTCCTGAGATGATTACAAACTGCTGTTTTTCTTTTTTTTTTCTTTTTTTTTTTCCCCTCCACTGCTCACAGAAGAAGATTATGCAGATGATTACAAACTGCTGTTTTTCTTTTTTTTTCTTTTTTTTTTCCCCTCCATTGCTCACAGAAGAAGATTATGAAGTCTCAAAAGAATGATACCGTAGATTAAAACTTTAGGGGATATTTCCTTTCAGTTGTAGGAACATGACGTTATCATGACGTTAAAATTTCAGGTTGTCCAGTCAGTCTTGCGGTGTTTGCTTCTTTCTACTGTAACAGCTTTAGGCAGTGTCCTACTTTGGGCTCTAAGCCTGAGCTGAAGAAGGTTCCCTGTCGATTCTGATTTCTTTTGTAATCCACTTCAGTATTTTTTTGATCTACCTTCTAAAGTAAAATGAATTGGAGGGAAAAGACTCTGTTAAAAGGGCATAAGCTCATATCCAGAGGGAGCGTTTAGCATCAGGTACATGTATTGATTGTGAAAACCCATGCTTTATTCTTTTCATTGAGTTCTCCCATTGAGGAGAATTTATCTCAATTTTTTTTTCAGTCTTTGTTATTAAAAACTTGATGCTTGCTTTCTTTCCACAGTTGTCAAAACCTGAGAAGGTTGCAATTCCAGAACGCTATGTTGAACTGGAGCCAGAAGAGCCTCTTTCTACAGAAGAACTGGCAGCAAGGCAGCGTAAAGCAGAAAAGATAAAGAATATTCTTACTAAATCAAGGTCAGTTTTTTCCCAAATCTTATATAGAGGCTGGTGTTAAACATTGGCAACTAACTTCATACAACAGTCTAATTCCCATTCAATTATCTAAGTGTAACTTGTGGTTTTTAGAAAATGCACACAGAATTTATGTAGTATACTTAAAGCTCCTTTTTAAAACAGGGTAGAAGAGATAATGACAAATTTTGTGTATGTCCATTTTCCTGTTCAGAGCATCCTAAAATAGGAGTGAGTCCCTACCAAACAACTTGTAGATGAGAGTGAGGAGGAAGGAAGGGCACAGATCTGGCCAAAAGCAGAAGAGAAGTCGGTGTAAGAGCAAATTTCTGTTGTCTCCAGAGAGCTGGAGTGCTGAAAGAACACTTTTGGCTTCTTACAGCTAATATAGAGTCAGCTGAAACATACCGTTTCAAGACGTTGATTACCTCAAGTATCTACTGTCTCTTTGGGAGACAATTAAAGAGGCTGTGCCTGAGGCCACAAGGTTGTACCTTTTAGTAACAGCTTCAAATAAATAGCATTTTTGGTATTGCTTTCATGTTAACAGCGTATTTACAACAAAGGACTTTCAGATGTGCTTAATGCTATGCAGAAATTGTGACTGAATGTGTAACGGCTGCGTCGTTTGTACGCTTGTAGTCATTTACACACAAGACCTAACACTACTTTAAAGAACTTCAACAAAACACGGAGCTTGATAGATCAGATGTGAAAACTGCTGCATGAATTCAAGCTTGTTCTCATCTGCATGCTGGATTCTTCCGTATATTTGTAAATGTTAATGTTGTTTTGCACTTTCCCACTAGTATGCACAATCTACAGCCTGCTGTTGCCCAGGACAAGCACAACTCGGTTGATTTAGATTCACAGCTGCAAGAGCAGGAGCGCATCATTACCATATCATACGCTTTGGCTTCTGAAGCCTCTCAGAGGAGCAAGGAGGTAGCAGGTAATACTTAGTTATTTACAAAATAAGAGCTATTTCTTACCAGTTTCTAAAGTTGTGTGGGGTTGTTGCTGAACTCCTGGCATAAGAGAGTTTTAGTCATTCGTATTCAAAATAGTGAAAAGTGTGTATAGGTAACAAATTTAGAGGGACTAAAGATTTACATTGAGTATTTGGCCTCTAATGGACAGGGTGAAGGGGACAAAATAGTATGATCAGTAAGTTCAGAGCTTGAAACATGCTCTTACTAATAGTACTAAAAATTAAACTTTTTCAATGATTTCCCTATAATTATGTTAAATGAGGTATTTCTATATTAATTTTTAAAAAGTAAATTGTTCTGTGACTTAAATCAAGATAAAGGGATTTTCAATTTTTTTTTTTTTTTTGAGCAGAAAGATTCTCTGGTCTGGTGATTGAGATTAGAATGTGATCATTTGCATCTTGAGCGGTATGACAACAGGTTGGGAAAGACATTGTAAAATGGGTATTGGCATGTTTCTGTCTGGTGACGAGATTAGAGGTCAGAGCGAGACAGCTGTGCATGAAAGCTGCTCGATGCCTGGAAATGAATAGATCCTTTGGAATACGTTACCAAAAGTGATAATTTCACTCTTGATTGCTTTATAGTTGGAATAAGCAAGAAACGTCAAGAGATTTGTATCACACAGTAATACAGGCAGCAGCTATTCTAGCAAGTATCTGACTGGCCATTTATAACTGGCACAGTTCACTGTTCCGGTGGAGAATGGAAATAATGGAAACTTCAGCTATGATGGAGATAAAATATGCACATTTCTTATCTGAAGTTGCCAGTTTAAACTTATGGCACTTGCCACAGAAGCCCTTAAGACCTTCCCATTAAAGACAGATTATTCCAATATCCACATGCATCTATAGTAACAGAGTTGATTGAATGTGACTGTATGCTCACAGATGAAGTGGCAGCTAAACCTGAGGGGAATGTGATTTTCAGGGAAAGGAATACATTTTCAAGATACGAATTTTGAATCGGAGAGGTTCTGTGGGTAATTTAACTGAGTGGAAGAGATAAAATGATTCACCAAGGAGGCTAAACATTATAATAAACCAAAACAAAACCTGGAACTGTAAAATCTTGGGAACACTTCAGGAATAACCTTTTGGACCTTCAGGCATCTGTGTGTCAAAATGGCTTCTCCACAGGCAGTCTGGTCTCAGTTCTACTAACCAGGTCCTTGTAACAGGGACTCACACACTTTGGTCACGGAGTGGAGCTTTGTGTTTCAGGAGGTATGAGCCAACACAGCATTTTGCCACGTGAGTTCTAGCTTCTTCTGGGAAATGGTAACACCGAAGCTAAGACCAATCAAGGTGAATGCAGCCCATACTTGAACTTATTCCTCTGTGTCAGTACAAAGGAGCAGAGTGCCTGCTATACTAAACAGCCTTCATGTGGCCAGCTAACTTCTGGGTGTGCATGAAGTTGCAGTAACTGTACAGTACTGAAAATGTGTTTGATCTTTTAAAGTTGTAAAGTGGAAGTAGCAGCTATGTTTTCATTACTACAATTTTTTGTTTTATATTTTAATTTTTTTTTATCGTAATTATTTCAAAATTGTGATCACCACATATTCTTAGGTATGTGTAACCACAGAAATCTTAATTCTTTAGTTCTCCCCAAAATGAGAATTAAAATGTGTATTGACTGAACTGAAATGTTTAAATGCTTCTTGGAAAAACTTGCGGTCAGTCACAAGATGATTTTTAATTTAATTTTCTTCATGAAGCGTAGTGGCTAGCTCTTTTGTCTTTCAGACACTTAAAAAATCCCTAACATAGTAGTCAAGGACTTGATTATTTAAGGAAGCCCAAGCCTTTATGTCCATGCACAGTTTTCCTTGCCACATTTGTATCTCAGATACTCAGTTCGTATAACATGTCTTGCTTTGATTTCAATTATTACTTACTCCTTTAAAAACAAACACCTTTCAAGGAATTCTAAAAAAAGCCAGAGTGGTTTGGCTTTGATAGAAAGAAGATACACAGACCATAAAAAGAGTTCATTTTTTTTAGTTACAGCCCATTTTCTGATGATCTAAAGTGATTAAAAAGCAAAGCATTTGATGCATTTGATGCTTTGCACAGCTGATTGTACATTCTCATTTATTCTAATTTTACAGATTCCTTCACATTCTTATTTTTGTAGTTTGATTTTTACAGCATGGGTTGTCATTTGCTCCTTGTTGACAAAGCAGATCTGAAAATCCAAAACTAAATATCTAGGTTTTTTTACAAAGATTTGCTTATAAAAAAAGACTGTGAAGCTTAACTTTTCCCATTTTTCAGGGGGAAGAGGTTAAATTATGTTAAGATGCTATGAGAATATAAATGTCTTTTAAAATAGATCGTACATTTATCTAATCCTTGTAAAGCAGCATTTTAGAGTCCCTCTGTTCCTCATAAGATATCAGCCTTCTGTATGGAAATCATGCCAAGAATCTGAAATATTAAAATTAAATGCATGAGTATGAAGAAGTCATTTCCTAAATTGCGTGTTTTGGAATTAGGTCTGCCTTTGGCCCTCCAAAATGTAAAAGCTGAATTTAAGACTGAGTTTTAATCTCTTTAGTTTTATGATTATTGTCTTCTAATACTATACCATTACTCTGTTTTATAAACAAGGATAATTTTAATCATTGTATTCTTTATCCTGAAGTTTCAAGATGAGAACTGAAAATGTGTTTACTGTATAATGCACTGAACTAAGCAAATTATTACATGCATCTGTAATTTTTTTCTGATTTTTTTCTAAGTATTATCTTCATTTCTGCTCATTGACATATAACAAAGGAAATGTTGAAAGCCTGCACAACCTCAGTGAAAACTTGAAATCAAATTAGCAAATATAGGTGCTATTCCAGAGCTGCAGTTTTAAAAGCAGGGCTTGATTAGGGTATATCAGTGTTGTGTGCCTTAAAGTGTTCCAGTGAAACTTCATCTTAAGATCGATTGGCCATATTCTCATCAAAACAGGAATGTTTATTTGCATAATTTATACAACTACTAGAAAAAAAACAGCAGGTAGAAATGTTGTTGTGTTGTTTAAGTTGTGTTCCACATAACTAAAATAGTGTAACACCTCATTGCATCACTAATCAGGTTTCCTATTCACGTGGTAGAAAATTAAGGTGGCTCTGTTATAATATGAATGTTTGATTGTGCAGACTAATTCCTGTATGTGATCCCTTCTAGCTCAGCAGTTGACCTATCCATCTAAAGCACCCTCACCTTCTGTACCACAGCCACCTCACTCCCCCTTAAGCAATGGATTTCACTACACATTTGTTTAAACACCTTAAAAGTAAGAACTAACTGCTCTCGGCATGTCTGATTTGCCATTGTACCTTCGCTGTGGCTTGCTGAATTTTAACATTTTTACTAAACCTAAATTAGATCCAAATGAACGCATGCATCTACTTTTCAGAAACCTTTTATTCTTGTAAGTACTGCTTCTAACGAGCTAACGTGTGGGTTAATAAAGTCTTTGAACAACTGCTGTCGCTCTACACATAAGACGCTTCCATAATCGTACTGTGGTGAAGGAAAGAGATGGCTGTACTCTCGGTAGCATGGGGCCAGATTTTCAGCAGTGGTTTGTATGCCGGTGGCTAATGTTGTGTACTCCTCTGGCTACCGTAGGGGTGCATAGGTATTTTTGCCTGCACATGGCATATACAGCTGCTGCACAAGAGAATCCAAAGTGCAAACGAAGTTGTATAAGCAGGGGGTTCATTTACGGGCTGGTATCTTACACGTGAACAAACATCAGAGTCTTAATCAAGGTGAGCTGAAAATTTGGCCCTTTATAACTAATTCTGTGGAATCGTGTTTGACTTTTTCATGCCTTTGATGTATTTTTTATTGAATTGTGTTAACAGAAGACTTGATTTTTGTCTCTGATCAGGTTACTTTGCCATTTCAAGTACTAAAATTATGATGATTTCATTGTCCTTATTAAAGCAATGTGTATCATCTCTTCCCAGGAGTATTTTCAGAGTTTTCTCTATTTGCAATAGGAAAACCTGTAAATATTATGATACTTAACTGCTAAGCACGCACCTAGTTAAGACACTCCCCGTGCTTCCATAGTTTCCTTTGAAATTATTCTCACCTTTCTGATTTCTTTTGACTTAATTTTATTGTGGGATGCTGGACAAAAAGATAAAATGGATGAAGTAGTAAAGTTGATTGAATGAATACCTCAAATAGCATTAATCTTTAGATACCTTTGTTTTGACTGTCACTAACGTGAGACAGATATCTGTCCAAAAAATAAAAATCTAAATAAAAATGAGCCCATACCAGAAAGACCCAAACAGGCAGTGACAAGGTGACCTTCAGAGGTCCCTTCGCACACCAACCATTCTGTGATTCCAGACTAACCTAAAAACATGTGTATCACATGTCTGTATAAATATACATACACACACACACGTGTGTATAGGTATATATTTACATAAATATGTATAAACCCATACATTTTCTTCAGGAAAATTATCAAGAAAATAATTGTAATAACTAGGAACGTGCAGGGGACACAGGAGTTTGCGCATCGGCAGCATCACGAGATGATCGTTCACTCGATGTGTCTATACAAATTGTTCATTCTGTCAAACTGCAGAAGGCTTTAATAAAAAAAAAAATGTTTCCTGAAAGCGCTTACTGCTCGGCATTGGTGTCCTCCCTTTCACTATCTAACCATGTTTTATTTTACTTCATGCTAGCCAAAGCAGTAAGTGAACACTGACATGAGACTCAGAGCAAATCCCACCTAGTGACGCCGCGTGGAAGAAAGAGGAGATTCATTACCAGCTTTCGGTGAAGATACTCATCTGCTGATGATCTGTTCTTCTGGAAATACGTTCAGAGAGCAATAGGGGGATTTTCTGTGAAAATGGAGAGAATTGCAAATCATTTCATTTTTACTTCCATTTAGTTCAGACTTTTTATATGAATAAATGGCACTTTTAATACACTCTGTAAAATACTGACAATGTATTTTTAGGACAATGTATTTTAGAATTTTTTTTTAAATCAAGGGCTGAACTCATTTTAAGAGAAACTACTTGCATAGATGTTAAAAGATGCTGTTACTTCCCCCTCGGGCTCAGATGCACAATGTAAAGTTTCATGAAAAAAAAAAAAAGTAAATTTGATCCAATCTAGAAGCATATTCATAGGGTATGGGTAGAGCTAATGCAAGTGAGATGTTTGCCAAAAGGGTGTTTTGGATTGAGTATGTTTGTGGAGTTAATTGCCCACCCTTTTGCCCATTAAATAATACATTGCAAGGAACATGTAGCTTGACTTTCTAAATATCAGTAACCACTGTATAGCTGAAATTGTCCACAAAAGCCATAATGAAAGCCAGTTTTAACTCCCGTTTCCTTTTCTGATCCCGTATGATTAACTTGCTGGTGTTGATACACAGTACACTAGGTTGCTCTTGGCAGTAGTGCTGTCCCCTCAGTAACAAACAGCTAACAAATTCTATTTTTTTCTTTTTTTGAAGTTGAGATGTGGAAGAAGGAAACTTTTAATAAAAATATGTGAACTAAGCAATAAAAAAATGTAATAGGATATGTCATTTTACTAGTAAATATGTATTTTTCTTTTGATTTTTTTTTTTTCAGTAAACATTACCCTATGATGTATTGACTAGTATTTATCCTGGAAACAGCAAAACTAATGTAATGAGGCACCTGCTAATTTCATATGTATGCTCACCTGGTGCTTAACTTTGCCAAACTTTGAAATTCAGTGTTGTGCTTATGTATAGGGCAAAGGGTAGTTACATAAGGAGAAAATAAGATTAAATGAATTGCTGCAACTACTTTACTTGAAAAAAAACCCTACGTACGCATTGAATGCAAGACATGCAAAAATTTTCCATTATGTAATTATTAGTTGAGTTCAGCTCTGGATGAGAAATGACCGAGAAATACTTGTGCAGTATTTTGTGAAACCACTAACTCGTTCATTTGCTGTATTCAAGTAATAGCTACAAATCCCTTGAGATTGACCTTCACGTTTCAGACTCTAAGAAAAATCATATTATATTAACGCTATGCTCAGAAATATTCTTAAAAGTATATATTTAGCTAATGCAATCTATTTTACCTCAATACTGCCAGTATCAACTTCAAAACCTTTTGCCAAAATAATGATTTATTTTTGCCTTTATAAAAAGTTTTGAAAGCATAAATGAATATTTTTCAAGAAAACATTAATTTAAATAAAATGTAACAGTTTGGAAAATGGTATATGTACAGATTAAAGTATTAACAGAACTGCCTCCTATCGCCGCTGTCTCGTCTGCTCTCTTTTCCATGTGGCTGAAAGTCCAGAGTTGTTTGTGCTGTTACCACATTTTGCTCTTCTTTGGTTCAAATCCAGTTCAAGTTCCCCAGTTTTGCACTTATTTCACTGGGATTTAGATCAGGTTCCCCCTACACCAAAGCTTCATTTTTATTTTCTTTTTTTTTTTTTTTCTTCCCCAGAAATATTTCTTAGCGTTTGATTAAGTCTGAGTTCATTCCTGAACAGAAAGATTTTTCAGGGTCGTCCCCTAAACGCGATCACTACAAGACTCTCCTTTCTGTCTTGTAGATATGTTTGACACCTTCTCAGCCCTTGCGTTTCTGGTGAAATAAAGTACTCAAAAGTAACTTCAATTTAAAAATGAACAAACAACAAATGTGGAGGCATCACATACTAACACGTGCACTGTACGCGAATTGGGTATTGACCAAGGAGAGGCTTGGTGGGCAACTGGCGAAGCAGATTCCAGCAGCAACCAACCGGCAGTGATTCCCACCACAGCGGTTCCCTCAGAGGACATCGGTTTGATGGAGACCAGCCGGAAACGTTTGATCCTCCTGATACGTAATCTCTAGAACAAAATGTAAAGCACCAGTTAGAAGTATTTCTGTGGCTCAGCATTGACTCTGCTGACGTGAGGGCGAATGTTGGGGAATGCGAGTACTTGACCTTCAGATGCGTCCGGCAGAAATTCAGGGCTGAGCTGCTCACGACGCGCTCCTCCCGTTTCTCAGGCGCACAGAGGAGCCTTTGACCGCGTGTTTGGGGTTCAGTGGAACGGCATCCTCTCTCTCCAGAAGCTTTGCAATGCAGGAGGGAAGAGCGCGTGGCTGTACCTGGGGGGTGAAGGGTGCAGCCGTGGGCTCCAGCTCTGCAGGTCGTGGGAGGTGTTAATTTTCTTTCCCTTGATCCTCCACACAAAAATCGGCTCGTTCAGGCTTGCATGAAAGAGAAGGGCTTTGCCCTAAGTAGTTATGCCATTAATGTTTTTTGCAAAAGGAGTCTTTCTAAAGAGTTTGGTCTGCGTCCATAGTTAATCCTGTATTTGGGAAAAAACTATCAAGATATTTTTTTCTTCCAAAACTTCTTATTGTATATATGAAATGTTGTTTTCCAGTGACTGTCTTTTATGCAGGGGTGGGTGTAGTTTTAAATAATTAGGCCTAGTTTTCATATGCATATAGTGTATGGTTTGGGTCGATTTCCTTTTTCAGTTCTGTTTCTTTTAATCAAAATGCTATTTTGTAGGCGTTAGACACTACATTCTAATATTAAGACTAGAAAAAAAGGATGTCTACTTGCAGATTAATACCATTTTGGTCAGAAAATT